AGCTATAATGATTGGTAAAATTTTCTTTTGCCATCCTTTTGCAGCGTTTGGAATTCTGATAATTTTTGACTGCAATAATGAGCTTTTGATCAGCCATGGAGTCGTCTTATAACTTATTTTCCTTCTGAAATATAAAATGCAACTTTGGGTTGCATGGAGTAATGATACAGGATGATATGTTGGCGTAAGTTGAACTTGTTTTTACTTCATACTTCATAACATACAAAAAAAGAGAGCATAAAACGATTATGTATTATTTTGTAAGCAGAAAAGCAAACTACTGAACTTGATTTTAAATGATTTTCCCAAAAAGAAAGGCAACTTGATTTTTCAATTTCCTCTAAAATAAATACTATATTTTTATCAAAATCAAAACATACACTTGGCGTCCCTATTATGAAATTTGCCAAATCATGCATTATTTAGTCAATTTATTGAAAACATTGTTTTCGTCTATTTTTTCGATCATTGATAACTCAAATGTCTCAAAACATTGTATTCGTCTATTTTTTCGATCCATGGATAACTCAAATGTCTCAATTTGATGAACGATCGATCAATAAGATTATGTCCGTCTATCTTTTTTTGGATAGGATTCTAGTAGTGCAAATAAGTTTGATTGTAAATTCGTAGGGGATGATTACATGATATTTTTTGGAGTCTCGATAAAAATTTGCTACTTTGTTGATGGGTTGGGCTAGGATACAGATTATAAGTTCAGCCTTACGGCCCAATCTCTCTTTCGGTTCCGGTTCGACTCATACCCATTTTGTCTGCTCTTTTTGACGAGTCTGTGAGTTACCGTCACGGAGAGCGGAGGCTGCCACTTAATCAGTCGACCAACCAACTGTTCGACGAAATGCTTCAATGAAATATCATATTTTGACGAAGCCGCATACGATTAGATGAGGTACGTAAAGCCTTTGAGCTTGTTCCAAGACTTGGTTAGGGGCAATGCTCTCGAACGTGGGCGTTTGCTTGGTTTGGACGTCGGCGACAAGTACGTCGGCGTAGCTGTTTCAGACATTCATAACAAGATTGCTTCACCTTTAAGGTATTCAATTGAATTCTTCTTTTACATGCTCAGTCTTCAAATTATGATTCGGAACTAAAATCGAGTGTGTTAATATTCGATGCTCCGCAGCGTTCTGCTTCGGAAGAAATCTACACTTGATATGATGGCCGATGATTTTCAGAGTTTGGTGAGTTTCTTGTTCATTTTCTGAAGTTTTGTTTTTTTAATATTTATTTTAGCATTGTTCTTTGAAGGTGCCTAAAACAATTATTGGGTTAAGCTTAAAAGAAACAACTATTTCTTTTTTCTTCTTCTGGGGATTCAATATTAATTCACGGATTGAAATTGAATATTGATTGTGAGGGTTTGACAATTGAAGTAACACAGTGGCAACTGCTTCTCATAATCATGACCATTTGTTTATTTGATTTTGCATCTGGCAATGTGGTCTTGGTTATGATACGGCTCATACTAGGTGTTAAAAGGCTTTTGATTTTGTCAAAGACACCTATATACTTCAGCCATGGCATTATCCCCCATACTTCCTCATTCCTAAGGCCAATTGGCTGAATGCCTTCCGTTGCTTTCCTCTGTCTGGGTCTTGCCATATATGAATGAAGACATCATCATATTATAATGCATTTTCAAAATTATTGAAGTTATTTTCAGAGCGAAGTCTAGGAATTTTCCTCTGCATCATTGCAGCATAAAAAATGTCGATATGTATTTCTTCATTTTTCATCATTGGTTCTTAGAGTTGTGATTCTCCCTGCCCTACCCAAGTGTTCAATTATCCTTAGATTACAAGCGGCATAGCACCGAGCCTGTATGCATTTCAAATGATACATGATAGTACCTCAATGATGTAAACTGTTTTCTACACTTTGATCCTTCATTTCCGAGTCAGAGTCATAATTGCTTTGTTTTTATGTGCAGATCTCTGAACTTTCTCTGGAGGGCTTCATTGTTGGATACCCTTTCGATAGACAGAGACGCAGTCCTGATGTGTGTATCTTAACCTGAGTTGTCTATATGGACGCTCATCTTCTTTCTGATAATGATTTGCTCTTCTTTGTTTAGGCTGTCCAAGTGAATCTTTTCATTGATGACCTCTCTGCGACAAGAAAACTTGAAGGCTTAAAATATACGTATTGGGATGAGGGCTTTACATCAAAGGTTAGTGCAGATACGCTTGGAAAATTATCGAGTCTGGTAATATGATGATTCTGACATATGTGTAGCAGAAGATGTAATCACATGCTGATGTTATTAGTTCATCAGTATGGACCTTCGACTAACTTGGATGTGTCTAAGGTTTATTTGGTATCCATTAAGTTTTGTAATTTTTCTGTTTCAAATGTTAAAGTTCTTGCTTTTACTTTGAGTGCCAGGAGAAAGCCAGTTTACACTCAAGAGTTAGAATACATCAAATAGAACTGGCAAAGCTAGTGTGTAGGCTATTATTACGACTTGCACATATGTTTCCATTATTTTGTCAGTGATCTTGAATCTTAAATTTTATTTTACTGCACACAGAATGTGGAATTACTCTTAAGGCCTTTGAATTTGCATCCAGTTACGTCCAAGACTATTGTTGACAAGTTTGCTGCTGTTGGTATACTCCAGGTAATGGTGTATATTTTTTTTTGTGTGTTACATAGCATTCAATAATACGGTCTTAGGTCATGCTAGATAAAAATGATAAAAATGATTTGTTTTTGGTTGTTTCAGTAGACAATACTGAAGAACATTTAAGAAATTATTAACTATTCTCAATCAGTTTTCTAAGTTTGGGACGCTGGCATTAATTTATGTTTTCTCATTTGTCAGGGGTACCTGGATTATGTTAATAGGAAGCAGAAGTCTGTAACCGCTCAGGACTTTGGTAAACTTTCTTACTTGTTCATGACAGTGATTTTATTGTGACTGCACTGAAAAAAATTGAATTTGTGAGGTCCTAAAATCACCAGTCTTGCAGGAAAGCAAACTCAGGTCTTAACTGAACATTTGAAGCTCTGATCAAACTTCTTGTGAATGAATTATTTGGTGAAGATAATGGCGGTCTTGGGCGATGACACCAGTTTTGTCCTTTCGGACTTTGTATTTACAACACTTTCTGTTAATGAATACAAAGGAACCTGAATTGTGTACATTGGTGTACCAGCTCTTGTATTTTACATTTTAGGTTCTTCTCATACCTCACAATTTAAAATCTCTGTGACTTTGTAGGAGACCAGCATTTGATGTGTGGATCGTTTCTTCGTGAATTGAAAATGAATTTATGTGCACCTGTGTGCTTAGCTTTTTTTTATCTTCTTCTTCTTTAACTTTGGAGGAACAAATTGTGGAAACACACATGCTTTATTTCAAGGGACAATATATTCCCCACATACATTCATAGTCTCATTATCCAGTTTCAAGCCCTTCTCTTAAGCCATATTGGGCTTCAAGCTCATTGTTGTTGTTCTGGTTGCCATTTTTTAATGTAAGATTCGAACTGTTAACGTGGCTCTGATTCGGTTGGCGATTTAGAGGTAGAGTTGGACCGAATCGAATCGTGACCACCCCTAATAGAAGCAAAAGAAGTAGAAGAGAAAGAAAGTGTGGAAACTTTATAAATGAAATTAAATTGCAATCCCATGAATTGAAATCACATTTTTTGTAATAAGATAATTGAAAATACAATATGAACAATTCAACATGTTGGTAAGTGTAATCAAAAGGTGGGCCAGGTTTTTGTTCCTACTCCTAGTCCTACTTTGAAAACATTTTCTTCTTTTCTTTTCTTTTTGATTGTAGGCCAATAATTCAACAATCAACTCTTTATTGACCACGCTAATCACTCATTTGATTTGTTTTCAACTACGTGACTCAATAATGCCCATTTGTCTGAAAGTCGTTAATAAGCACAAAAAAGACTGAGAGCAGGCAGCTCATTTCACCCACCAAGGCAAATCATTTTAGAAGAAAACGACATCGTTTCCTACCTTTGAATACACGCACCACCCCCACATGCCCTTTTCCCCTATCTCCAGCCATTCCAGCCATTGTTTTTATCGTAACTTCAAATCCCATCTTTTTCCAAAATTCAGACAAAAGAAACTTCATTTAATATAGTTATTAACAGTAAAATTGATTCAACATTCTTGTTGTTTCTTCAAAATGATAATAATAATAATCTTTTCAGATTAGTTTGTCCATTTTAGACTGGCCCATGACCAAATTCCAACTCTCTCTCACCAAAAAGAAAACAGAAGAAGAACAAAAGTTAAAATAAAATAGCTTTTGGGTCCTAGCTCTGTTTACATAGATTAGCGATCTGTAACCCAAACCAGCAGTGGTACCAAGCCAAGGGGTCATTAAAGAGAGAGAGAAAGAGGACAGGGAGAGTATGAATGAGAGAGAGATGTGGGGCTATTAGCTCTGAAGGAGAAAGACTTTCTTTTTTGGTCTGAACCACGAGGTGGTCTTGGATGGGTCCCAATTATAAATGACATCTTTAAGCCTTAACCACAATCCAGACTAATTCCCGCTTACATCGAGTTGGCCTGTAAGGGGTAAAGTACTGGCCAAAGTGGTGACTCCATACTAGAGCAGGGATTGAACCTTTGACATTCTCTTAAGGAATGAGAGTGTCGAACCACTCACACCAACCACCTTGGTTGAAGGAGAAAGACTTTTATAGAACAGGAATAACACTATTTTGCTATTCTCATCCAATAATACTATGACACGTATAATAATACTTTTACATAACATAACATTATTAGTCGAATAATATTATTCCGTTGCAACTAAGTTTTTCTCAGAAGGCCCTGTGCCCTAAGAAAGGGCAATCTGATAAGGACATGTAGGTTGGTACTTTGGCAGGCCCCACACTGTCGTCCAATACCATTAGTCTTTCCTTTCATATAGTCAGAGATACTTACACCCCACCACACCCCACCCCTTCACTCACTCACTACATTTTAGAATAAAGAAAAAAGCGAAAAAGGTATTTGAGTAGTTCACAGTTCACAGTTCACAGTTCACACACACACACACAAGACACTTATACACTCACACCTTTAATTCAAAAGCTCAAATTTTCAATTCATTTTCCTCCCCAACCCCCCTTCCCTTTCTTTGTCTTTTCCTCCCTCTTTTTTCCCTTTCACCTCCTGCATTTTCCTGTCAAAACCCTAGATTTCAAATCTAGGGTTTTGTTCTCACTACTGTGTTTGAGGCAGTGCTTCAAGAGCTGCCAGGTCGTTTTTCTTGCTTTTCTGTAGCTACCCGAGCTCCCGATTTTTCTACATTTTGTTTTTTCCTAGGTATTCTCTGTTATGGGTTTGTGAGGGTGGTTCTGTTCAAGCTTTGGCATCACGCACTTTCTTGTTTTTCCGGTTGAAGATCAAAACTTTGCTGGGTTTTTAGATTTTTTCTGAAACTCAAAATAAAACCCTTGTAAAATCCTTGTTTTACAAGCTCACTGCGTTCCTGTATTTTGAAGATTTAGGGCTGAAGGGGATTTCTTCCCCTCTTCTTTTGGTTTTGAAAAAAAATGCTATAAAAATTTTCCCATTTGAATAATAACCTCCGTGAAGCCTTTGTTTTGAAATTTCCATTTTCCGTTAAATCTCCCAGTGGTGGGGTGATTTTTTTTTATACAATCCTTAGCATAATTGACCAACGGGTTTCAAGACACAATCTTTAGGTGACAAAAACTTAAGCTTTCTAGTGACAAGTCTCTCAGTAAATGCATGGATGGGAGAGAAGCCATGGGATTGTCTGGTGGGTCAGCTCAATACTACATCCATAGGGGAGGGGTTGGTGGGTCTATGCCTGGATCACAGGCTGGTGGTGGACTGCATACTCCACCTGGGTTCAGGCACATGTCAAACACTGTCCTTCAACCTCAGTCTAATGTGAGGGTCAGCTCTGTAGGATCAACATTCTCAGTAGAGCCTTCAAGACCCAATTTTCCTCATCATGGCATTAGCATGAATGTCACTCCTGGAGTGCCTTCAGGTGAGCCTGTAAAGAAGAAAAGAGGGAGGCCCAGGAAGTATGGTCCTGATGGGCCGGTTTCTCTGGGATTGTCTCCCATGTCTGCAACACCTAATCCTAGACCAGGTTCAACCAGCCCCACTCCAAAACGTAGTAGAGGGCGGCCACCTGGGAGTGGTAGGAAACAACAGTTAGCTACTCTTGGTAAATCTCTTGCAACTTCTACAACCTTTTTTTTTATTTTATGCCTTGACTTTTGTTTTATGTTTCTAATTTTATTACTTTTCTAAATTTAGTTGGCTAGCATATAGTGGCTCATTATTGTTAGCCTTTAGTAGTGTTTCTCTTGATTTCTATAAATGGTGTTCAATTCATGCCAATTCTGCTAATGTTCCTAAGCTTCCTTCCTTTTTTAATTATGAGTAATGTCCTTTAGGTGCCCACTAACTAACTACCACAACTTAACTAGCAAAAGCATCTACAAAATATGCACCGGAGTTGTGAAAATGAGGTGCATGCAGAAGAAAAAGTTATGGCTTCTAGTGTCTGATTTGTTTTATATATTTGACTTATTATTATGATAGTTATTGCTCAGATGTTTGTATTTTTCCAGTTGAGGTTTTCCCATCTGAATCAGCTGAAGTATGTCATCTGTAATTAAGTAATTATCACCATCTGTTTTTGCATGTACTTTGAGATCTATGAATTTTTACTATTTCTTGGAAATGTTGAACTGTTATTATAGGGGACTGGATGAATGCTTCAGCTGGACTGGCTTTTGCACCCCATGTTATCACCATTGGAGCTGGAGAGGTATGCTATATACGTTCAAATGACTGAGATACGTAAAATATGATGCAGAAGAATTTTGTCCTCTGGGATCAGTTGCTCCAATTTATTGGGTTGGCAATGCCTTTTGTTAACACATAGAGATTGTCAGTGTTTATTGTTTGCTTAATTATGGCTTTAAAGCTGCATTAGATTTGCATAAGTACTGAAATTTTCTTTCTCATGCATAAGGAAAGGAAAGCAGATTGATACCAAAATTGGAAAAAAATCATGCTTTACCAGGCCTATTATGCTTGCTTCAGATAACTAACTAGAAGCTTGATCCAAATAATTTTTACATCAATTGTACTGGAGTTTTCTGGATCATGAACACATGGTAATAAGAATGCTGCTATTAAAGTTTTGTATAATGCTTTACCCGTTTCTAAGGTAAAGCTTGATAGATGTCATTTGAGTTTTTCAACATGTTGAGTTTGTAAATATAGGGATTGTTGCAAGCACATATCAATGGACTGACCATATCACTAGGATTCCACAAACTACACATACATACAATTGCAAAGGGGCACACACATATCATCCCACTCTAAAAGCATGATTACACATGTCAGTTGAGTTTGGGTCTAGGTGGAAGCCTTTATTTTGAATGGCTTGAACTTAATTTTCTATGATTAATATACTTTGTTATTTTGCCTTTGTAGGACATTGCAGCAAAATTATTGTTGTTTTCACAACAGAGACCAAGGGCGCTATGCATTTTGTCAGGAAGTGGTACAGCATCTTCAGTAACTCTACGTCAGCCTGCATCTACTGGTGTCAGTGTCACGTTTGAGGTTGAAGCACTCAATTCTGTATTTATTTTTGCTCGTGTTGGTGCATACAAATGACTTCCGTTTTAGATGGCTTTCCTTCTATGTTGGTCTTATTAAAGTTAGTGAGAGTTTCCATTTCAAATTTAAGATACAAAGCTGCAGATTTCCTTCTTTCTGTTTAAAATATTTCTTGCAAATACCATAAGTTGCAACTGTAGTTCAGTTTATGTAATGTTGTAACTTTTATGATTGCAAAGAGCTGTCCAGGGTAGATGTGCAAGTTTGTAGTTGGTTATGGTTACATTTCAAATTTTGTTGTTCTTTAATAACTTGAACACTTTGTTTAGTTTCAAAAATAGCTGATGAGAAACTAGTGCAGTAATTAGCTACTTATGAAAAAATATGGGCCAGAAAAGCAATGGCATACAAAGTGCTAGTAAGGCCTTTGGGATACCAGTAGAATCAGAACTAATCAATGGAATAGAATGAAAAGGAGACAAATGAAGGGCTAGGATGCAGGGAATCTATCTACGTATGGAAGATGGTAGGGAAGAGAAAGAGTTTAAGGTTTGGGTTTTAAAGCTATGGTGTGATATTTATGATTTTGAGGAGATTCTTAGTTTGGATATAAAATTGTATGTCTGCTACTTGAGTCGGGGAATGGGATTTAAATCTGAGTCAGGGAAGGTAATACTTGCATGCTTGGGTTGGATGTTGCTAGGATTGTTAAAAAATGGTCTTGGGAATTGTAGGTGTTTGAGCAGTGTAATATGAGAATACCATTGTAGTGTTGGTTTCTACGAATTAGAACTAGAGCTAAGAGAATATCTTAATCAAGATCTGGGAAAGAGGTTGAGGCAGAACGTATGGATATGTTGTCCAAAGTGTGAAGTTTCAAAATAAGGTGGTGGTGCTGATAATTGTTGAAAGTTGTAAGGTTTGAGCGCAGTTTGGTCTGGCAATAGCTGGATTGCTAATAGTGCAGGGAATATATGGGTGTTTGTCTGCACTGGTATTCAGGTAGTTTAATTTTTGTTTTAAGGAGAACGTGGTCAAGTGACTAAAACAAATTATTGGTTGGACAGTTCTTGATTAGCTTAAATCAGTAGAGTTGCCCAAAAATGAAGTGCTACTGTCATAGATTCGATTCGGTTTCTAGTTATGGTGGGGTTTTAGTGCAAAAAATAGAGATACTTGAACGTGGTTGTTTGATGGTTTAATGGGTGATGCTATAGCTGCTGCAAGTCATTGTGAGTTGATCAGATAATTGGAATGTTAGAACATGACATGTTTATGGTGATTGTGAGACTTCATCTACCTTTGGGTTAGGCAGGTCTGTAGTTAAGATCTGTAGCCAATCCTTCTAAGTGACCGAACCTAATATAATAAAAACTGGTGTGACTAATGCCATTAAGATTGCATGAGTAGATTTAAGGTTGGTTTATCTGTCAGAGGAAGGTTGAACAAACTTTGTTTGACAGTAATTAGTTCAGATACTATCCAGGTTTAAATAGCTTCAAATGTCTACTTCAGTCCTTTTCTCCAAGAGCTGCAACATATTTTTATTCTCTTTCTTTTGTCCTTTCTGAAACAGCTCAAAACTTCTATTTTTCTTTTCTAGGAATGCGTTCTGCTTTATTAAATGTAGTCTTTATGACAGATTGGCCTAAAGTTGCTATCATAGTAGTCAATACTGATATCATGAATGGCCTTGCTCTAAAAAATGCACTGACTTTTCCTAGTCCAATTTTTGTAGAATTAGGTTCACTCTTTTTGACTCAATTGTTTATATGGCTGTGCAGGGTCGTTTCCAGATATTATGCTTGTCAGGGTCGTACTTGGTTGCTGAGGATGGCGGACCACGCAATCGAACAGGGGGTATAAGTGTTTCCCTTTCTAGTCCCGATGGTCATGTCATTGGTGGTGCTGTGGCAATGCTTATTGCCGCAACGCCAGTGCAGGTAATTTCTTTACTGCTCAGAAACATTCCTGGTGGTGCTAATGCCATATTTCCTGCACATCTTTGCAAGAGTGGTAGTTTGCACGTGTACATAGGTTGTGATATGCAATATCTGTGCATATATGCACTTTGAAGATGGCTATCTTTTGTTGGAAGATTGTGTGATTGAAACACACTTGTCTAGCATGGGATTGTCTTACAGGCGTCTTTTTATCAGATTCTGATTATAGTCTAGAAATGTGGATATTGCACTTTGAAGATGGCAGCACAGAGGTCTAATTCATTTTTGTTGCAGGTTGTGCTTTGTAGTTTTGTCTATGGTGGCTCCAAGACCAAGAACAAGCAAGTGGCTGGTCCCAATAGCGACGAGAATTCTGAGCCTCAACATAATGAGAAATTGGCTCTACCATCTAACACCCCGCCTGCTCAAAATTATAATCCTTCCGGAGCAGGCATTTGGCCAGGTTCGCGGCAAGTTGATTTGAGAAATCCGCACACCGGCATCGACTTGACTCGCGGGTGAAGATATGCTGCAACAAACACATGCCAATTTTGTATATATGTGTTGTTGTAAATGAACCGAATCTGTGAGAATTGTAACTTTACTCTTGTTCACCCACTGGTGGGTAAACAAGTTTGTGCTAACATAATCTGTAACAAAGCCGTAATTCTGGGGGTTATTTCGGTAACATAATTGAGGAAGTTTCAAGTAGTGTGGAGGGTTAAGATACTCATCTGTAGCAAGAAATTCTTTTGGCTTTTGGTTGGAACTTTCTATCAAATCAAAGTCCTTTTGTAGTTGTAACCAATTCTGAATCACAATTTGCAGAATTATATGCTGCATATGTATGGAAGAATGAGGTTTATTGAGCAACTGGTCTTTTGCTACGTAGCTATGAACCATATTTGCAAGGCGCTAGTAATGTTGTTGATTTGTGGTTCCAAGCTCTACCATATTCGGAACAATTAGGAGGTTTCCCATTTTGTTACCATCCAAGGGAAGAATTGGCGATCACAGGGGCCTGTGTCGATGTTAAAACGTTTAATGTTCTCTTCGATGATGAAGAAAACCAATTGTAATTACTTGGTGCAATCCAAGCGAGCAAACCAACCCTCTCCAAATGGGTGGAAAAGCTGTCTGCTCGGGGGGATGGTGGCGTGATTAGCTTCCTTCTAAATGTGGCAATAGCTACAGGCCTACCGGTCCAAGGACACACCAACAGTACCAAAAACAAAACATCTGAACTGTCTACGACGGGCAGTTTTACTTGGAAATTTTGGATGTAAAAGCTTTAACCTATACAACTAGAAGAAAAAAGGAAAATCAAAAGCTGAAAGATATATGGTCAAATATGTGACTGAGATAAACATCTTTTACTTCTAATGTTATTATTGGGAACCTGGGACATGAATCTGCAATATATCTTCGCAAATAACCTATTAACAGACTAGGTTTTACCAGATTTGAAACAACTAGATAAACTAGTGAGATTGTATCACAGGTCATTGTCTGTTGAAGCCTTCACATCTCAGCATTCATGAGACTCCGCCAACAGCTTCTTTATGTCATGCTGCAAAGATGGTATAATATCAGAACGCTATTATTACTCGAGAAAACTTACTGATGATCAACTGAAATAAACAACCGAGGCAGCATAACATAATTATCTGTAAGAATCAGACATCTGGGTTTTTACCTCAAGGCTAAAGGGTAAAGTTGTTGGGTAATAACGATTAACAACTTTCCCTTCCTTGTCAACAAGAAATTTGGCAAAGTTCCACTGAATATCATCATCAAAGAATCCCCATTTGCCTAACCTCAAGAACTTGTACAATGGAGCAGCATTATCACCGTTTACTTCAATCTAACCAGAGAACAAAAATGGTGAATTTAGGAACATCTCACCCTATTACAATACCATCCAAGCCCTCCGATTTAGTTCAAATGGCTACAGGGGAGAACACATCTAAAATTTCTAACTTGCAGAAGTTCTATAGGAAGTATAATTTATAACCACTAATTTACTACAACTATTAAAGTAGTTGATTTGACAAGCCTAAACATATCATATTTGAAATTCTTGAAACTAAAACTTGTGAACACAGAGATCCTCAACCAATCTGAATGACTCAATTAAGTTTGTTGGGATGCAAACTTCAAGCATATAAATATTATTTCATGCATGAAAACGGAAAAATTTATATCTTTTTTCCTGCTGGAAGATTCAGGATAGTTAGCAATGCACTTCTGCATTGTTTTAAACAGACAATATATGAGCATGTAGCTGAAAAATCGGCTGTCTTGCCTAAACGTCATAGGTATGAGCTGTTGGAAGGCAGATACAACATAATATAGTACCTTGTCAAAAATTTGGAATCCTGATTTAAAACGAGTGCAGACAAACTCTTCAATTTGTAGATTACTTCCTGGTTCTTGAGCAGCAAACTGGTTGCACGGAAATGCCAGAATTTCCAAGCCTGTTTATCATACAAAGGGGAAGAATAAAGGATAAATTAGAACTTCAGCAAACTTTTGAACTATGAAAAAAAGATTTTCGTATGGCAAACAGAGGGAATTCTTATTTTTCCCCAAAAAAAAATAAAAAAAAATACTGCGGTATATGCAAAACAGTATAAATTTATAAAAAAAAAAACATGAAACAAGAAGCAGATAAGCATGTTCCAGACACAGAGGTAGTCAGAAGGGAAGAAAGTGTAATCCACATGTAAGAAAACAAATTACATCGATGTTCAGTCAAGAATAAATTTCCTAGGGACATGGTCACCATGCTACAGTTACATTTCTAATGGTTTTCAAAATGGTAAGCATGAAAGAACAATATTAGCTCAAAATGCAAACCTTGATCTTTATACTGCTGATATAGTTTAGTTAGCTCAGGGTAATTTTCGTCGGTCAATCCACTGCTCGAAATCAGTGAAAAACAACAATGAATAAATAGGTTTTTGTTTCTCTCTCTCTCTTTTTTTTTTTTTTTTTTTTCCGAAAGAAGAGAATAATAATAAATGTGAGAAGCAAAAAATATGAGGATACCATTCAGAAGCAACATTGACAATCAGTAGAACTTTTCCTCTGTACACGCTAAGATCGACATCCTTTCCCTTGGCATCCTGCACTAAGAAACGAATTTACAACCATCCGACGAACTACAAAATCCCGATATAAAGAATACTACTAGTCTACTTCTAAACTGAATTTCAAAGTTCAACATAGATTCAACAAAAACAACATCGTTTCATTCTGAACCAAGGAACCAGCCACATGTGTTCCCATTATCATCGTCTGAATATTTCCTTCTCCCTTTCTTTCAATTATGCGTTTTTTATTCTCAACCAATCACACTACCGAAAATTCTTAAACATTCCAAAAAGGGAGTAACCAACATTCAAACTTCACTCATGGATTATTGATTCCAGAAATGAAGAACATATTCAACAACATTATCACATATCTTCAAAACTAGCCACCTACCAATTATATTACATGTTGAATAACATTTACAGTCTTCAGACCCAGCTAGAAAATAGAGCAGAAATGCATAAACTAATTGAAGAGAGCCTTACCTTGACAGTAAATTCGTAAATTTTTGTACTTGGGAACTCATCGGCTTGGCTTGGCATCCGATAAACTGGTCCCAAGTCTGAAGTAGAAGAGCTAGCACAAGTGACAAAAGTAGCAAATGGAACAGACAAGACACAACTATGAGGAAAGTGGGTGGCAGAGAGAAGCATTAAGCAACAATGCCTTTTCTTTCACATCCTTATTTTATGTGACTCTAGCATTTGCCACTCAAGAAGGTTACATGTGTTCTTTCTACAATTTCAAAAAATGCTATAGACTTCTTGCTCTAAATTTCTTGTTCACTCTTGTGCATAACCCTACAGAACTCAGAAAATGCATAACTATCACATTGGGAAAAATGAAAATCCAGGTGCATGATGCAGAAATTTTCTGACCCAAAATAAAAATGTGAAAGAGAATGGCCAGAAGGGCCTACATTGGAAGCAAAATGTAAAACCAGCACTTGGGTTGGTTTTGTACAAAAACAAATCAGGGGAAACAAGAAAAGAAGAAGCTTGATCTTACCTTTGTGCATTTGGCTAAAGCAACCAGAAAACACATTTCCCATAGGAAATATAATTAACCGAAGGGGCTCTTGTTGGAAAGATATCAAACACAAAATGAGCAACAATCGCAAGAACTCGAATTGAGTGATGCTTTCTAGGAAATCAACTCTCTTTAGGGCAATAAATGGAGATGAAATGAGGGTAGGGTAGTTCCCTTTTTTTGACGCTGGAGGTGCAACGACGATGGTTGTTCCGCCATTTTTGTTTTTGGACGGTAGAAGAAGTGGTTCAGTTTTGCATGCAAAAGTTTTTGGCCAGATCAAGTACAATCACGTTTTTTTTTTTTTTTTTTCTCTTTCTTTTGTTATTATTTTGTGTTTTGCAAAAGTTGAGAAAGGGAACTAACACACGCGCGGGGTTTGAACTCAGGACTAGCATACTAAACTTTTGGGCCAATCCAACGAACATGCCATTTGTTTTTTGTTTTTGGTTTTTTGTTTTTGGGACTTTTTATCACAAAACATCCCTGACATTCATGAAACTATCAGATTGCATCTTTAAAGTTTTTTTTGTATCACTCATAGTCCCTAACAGTAATATGAGTGCTCTTAAATATTCATTCTGTCAAAAAAACTGTTAAATCTAGGGATATAATCGTCAAATCAATCCAAAATTAAAAAATATATATTTTTTATTTCCTTCTCTTCTCTCTTTCTTTCTTCTTCTTCTTTCTCTCCGCCAAATATCTATTCTTCTTCTTTCTAATTGTGCCCAAATTTCAGTATTGCCCTAATGAAATCCAAATTAACTGCAAATTTGTGTAGGCAGATGAGAGACATGCCTTCTCTAGGCTCTTTCCATGGGACATATCTTTGATGGTGTCGTAAGTAAATGTAACCTGAAGCAAAGTTTTGGTTTGTTCTGGTTTTGGACATGTTTTCTTAATGACCTGGTGTAGGGCTCCCATCAACCACCTTTATTGTTTATTCTTTGCTTAGTTTCTACAACCATTGAATAACAAGAGGACCAGGCCTAAAGAGAATAATTTAATTTTCCAACAAAACACCATAATATGATACTGGCGGGGAGAGAAAGAAGAAGAAGAAAGAAAGAGAGAAGGGAAGGAAATTAAAAAAAAAAATATATATATATATAATTTTGGATCGATTTGACGATTATATCCCTGGATTTAGCAGTTTTTTTGACAGATGAACTATTTAAGAGCACCCATATTAACGTTAGAGATCATGAGTAATAAAAAAAGACTTTAAAGATGCAATCTGATAGTTTCGTAAACGTCAGACGTTATGTGATAAAAAGTCTTTTTTTGGAGTGGGGTGGTTGTGGTTCAAAGGTAAAGGAGCTAATTGTAATTTTATTGCTTACTAAGGGAAAAAGAAGAGTAAATCTTATGGTAATACAATTTTCAAGGAAAGGATGAAAATCATGTCGTTCAAGTATTTATGTTACAAATTTTTTTTTGGGGGTTCAAATGTGACTGAGATTAACATATCTTAAACTCTGAGAAAATCCATCACACGTAATGATTACGGGAACTTTTTAAGAGAAAATTTCGTAAGTCTTACATTATGTCTCTCCCATAACGTGACTACATTATTCTACCACATCACAATATGTGCTAGCAAATGACCAACTAACCAGACCATGTTTTCCGATATTGGAAATAGCTAAGATATTTTTGTAGCACAGGAGGTCATTGTGGAACAGGCGGGGACTGCAATTGCTTCATGTTTTAGCACCACACATAAATATAAATGTACGTACAACCTTAAAAAGTCTTGAAATCCAGACATTAGTTTAACAAAGGAACACCCTTAACAAGTGTTGAAGCCACACTAATAATATAACAAACGTACAAAAGGAAGCTTGAACTTTTTCTCCCGCCTGATACACAAAAGGCAAGCATATGTTGCAGTCTTCACATCTCATCTCAGCATTCAAGAGACTCCCAACAGCTTCTTTATGTCACGCTGCCAAAATCATATAATGTCAAAAGGTTAGCAAACTTCACAAATCCACCAATGAATCGATGATCAACTACAATAAGCAACATAGGCAGCATAGCATAATCAAAATTCCAGATTGCAGACATCAGGGTTGTTACCTCAATGCTAAGGGGGGGAGTGGTTGGATAATAGCGGTCGGAAACTTTCCCGTCCTTATCAACTAGAAACTTGGTAAAGTTCCACTGAATATTATCTCCAAAGAATCCCCATTTGCCTGCCTTCAAGAACTTGTACACTGGAGCAGTATTATCACCGTTCACTTCAATCTAACACAAGAACAAAAGAAGGTAAATTTCCAAACATCTCACATTATGCAGTTGACACGGCCATAGGGAAGAACACATGTCAAATTTCTAAATCCATCAAACTCGAAATCCTCGAAACTAAAACTTGTAAACACAGAGATCCTCAATGCTCCACCAGTTTGAGTGACTAAATTAAGTTTGATGGCATGAACATAGATACAACATAATCTACTGTTCCTGAATCGACCTTGTCAAATATGGGAAATTCTGATTTGAAACGAGTGCAGACAAAATCTTCAATCTCTTCATTGCTTCCCGGTTCCTGAGCACCAAACTGGTTGCATGGAAATGCCAGAATCTCCAAGCCTGCATCGACCCCCCCGGTATGTCATACAAAGGGAAAAAAAAGTAAAGGCACAACAGGAAAGTATAATTTCAGTGAACTTTCAAACTGCTTATATGAAATTTATGATGAGGAGAGGATTTCCCTATTACATACAAACTCAGGAATTCTTTTTTGTCACATGAAATTAGCTAGTTTGATATGCGGAAAAAAGAGTGTATACATTAACAAGAAAATGAAAATGAAAGAAGCAGCACATAAGCTTGTTCCAAAGAGAGAACAATATTAGTTGGAAATGCAAACCTTGATCTTTATACTTTTGATATAGTTCATTCAGCTCTGTGTAGTTTGAATTGGTCAGGCCACTGCCACAAATCAGTGAAAAATAAAATCGAATAAATGGGTTTTTTTTTTTTTTTTCTTGATTGTTTATAAAATAAAATAAAAACCAAAGTACGAGGAATAATACCATTTGGAGGCAACATTGATAACCAGAAGAACTTTTCCCTTGTAGACGCTAAGATCCACATCATTTCCCTTAGCATCCTACACAAATTCAAAACTATAAGACCAACTACAAAACCAAGATACAAAGAATACTTCTCAACTCAATCTCCAACATAGGTTCAACAAAAATCAAAGTCTCTTATTTTCCCAACATGTTCTTCATCCTTGAAGTTACGTTTTTTTTTTTCTTTCTCTTGGCGATCAACCAGAGCCAGCTAGGGAAAATTCTCATAACATGCAGAAAAGTAAATACCCAACATTCAAATTCAATTCCCAGAGAAAGAAGAACATATTCAAAACAATCAGATGTCTTCAAAATTTACAGAGCCACCTAGAAAACATATAGCAGAAACCTATAAACTAATTGAAGAGAGATTTTCTTACCTTAACAGTGAAGTCATAAAATGTTTTTGGGATCTCAGTTGGCTGGCTTGCCATCCTATAATCACTGGTCTTAAAATCTCAAGTAGAACAAAGCTACCACAACTGATTGAGGAAAAGCAGAAGCAGAGACAAGACTTAAGTATGAATTACGCTTTTGACTTTGGGAGCTTCAATCAGGTTGGTCCGTACACAACCCACAGGTGTAAGTACAGATTATTAACGTTTTTGCCCCTATGTTTCTTCGTATTACGATTTTACCCTGAAGGATGGGCTTGCTTCCTTGGGCTTGATCTACGAACAAACAAACTCTTCATCTCATCCAAGAAAATCTTGGCCCAAACTTCTTAATGGCTAGTTTGTGCGTATCTTTGGACGGACCGAACGAGGTAATTAGGCCTAATGGACCCGCTCGAAACCAAACGAGCCGCCCCCTTTAAATCCCATTTATTAAATTATGTTTATTTTAGAGAAAATTTTTATACAATATTATTGCAT